TGGGGCTGCTTGCTTTTCTCTGTGCAGAAGCCCCTGAAAGACCCCAGCCAGCTCCTGAGCCTCGTCTGCCAGCTGTATCAGGTAAGATGGGGGGAGCCGGGATCCCGCTGCTGGGAGGAGCACCTCCTGCCAGGATTCCCACACTGACCCCCCACTCCAGGGTGAGGAAAAGCCAGATGTCTGCTCCTCCATGGCCACCACCCCCAGGGAGGTCTGCTACAAGTGACCAGGAGTTAGTGTCCCAGGACGGAAAGGACAGGAAGAGCCAGAGCTTAGCTACCACCCTTCTTCGGATCCCCAGCCCTCGGCAGATACGACTCACCAACTGGGGGACTTCTAGACACCCTGCAAAGCCCAGACCCAAAATTCCACCCTGTGATCCAGGGTTCTGCCTCCCTGAGAATGGTGCAAGACTGAAATTCAATTAATACGTAATAAATTCATCTGGTTGTGATGATTTATTTTATACCATTTTTTTGCAGCACTGGGAATGGAACCCAGGGCTTTGGGCAGCCACTGAGCTACACCCCAGCCCCTTGGATAGTTTTCAAAAGTGGAAAAGTCAAGCTGGGTGCGGTGACGCACACCTGTAATCCCAGTGGCTTGGGAGGCTGAGGCAGGAGGATCACAAGTTCAAAGTCGGCCTCAGCAATTTAACGAGGCCCTGTCTCTAAAAAATAAAAAGGGCTGGGATGTGGCTTAGTGGTTAAGCATCCCTGGGTTCAATCCCCAGGACCAAAAAATCAGCAGCAGCCGCAGCATCTCAGGGGTTGGGCTCGTGGCTCAGGGGTGAACAGTCTTGTTCTAGCCTGTGTGAGGCCCGGGATTCCATCCACAGCTCTGCAAAAAATGAAATAATAATAATGAATGCAGGCTCTGATTTTTCACTGTGCAGACCTGGGGATGGAGCAATGTGAGGACTAAATGCATCCTAGAGGGACTCTAGCCAAGTTAACATTTTAATCATTAACTGAATTTCTGGCTGCTAATGGACTGTTTTTGCCTAATATCGCTTGGAACACTGTCAGGACTCTGAGAAACAGCATGGAACAGAGAGGCTGCTGCAGCCCCGTAGTGGGGCGTCTGCCAGACATGTGCAAGGTCCTGGGCTCCATCCCCAGGGCTGCAAAAGAAAGGTAACAGAGACCTGAGGGCACTGGCCCAGCTCCTCTGTGAGAGCTCAAATCAAACCCTTAGACACTTTCACGACATGTAAAATCCCAAACAGGAGCCAGGCACAGTGATGGGCGCCGGGAGTCCCAGCTACTCAGGAGGCTGAGGCAGGAGGATCCCTGAAGCCCAGGTGTGGTTAGTGGAAAGAACTTTCTAGTTGCCAAACAAAAAGAAAAAAATGTGGGCTGGGGTTGTGGCTCAGTGGTAGAGCGCTCGCCTAGCATGCATGAGGCACTGGGTTCAATTCTCGGCACCACATACAAATAATTAAAAAATAAAGATATTGTGCCACCTAAAACTAAAAAATAAATATAAAAAATGTTTTGAGATATTAGATGTATAAAAGGAGAGAAAACAAAACCTGAAACACGCTGAAGAAAGTGGCCCTGCACAGGTTCCGTTGGGTTCCATGCACGGCTCTCATTTTGGGGGGCGGTGGTGTGGCTGGGGGGGCACCACAGCACAGAGCTCTGTACTCTGAGAGCCGTCAGGCTGGGTTGGCGGGTGGCGGGGCTGGACCCAGGTGCTCTACCCTGAGCCACACCCCAGTTCCATCATACACTTCACCAGGATTATTTCTACCAAAACAAAGGAACTGCCAAGCAGCCAACATGACTCATGCCTGTCATCCCAGCAGTTTGGGAGGCTGAGGCGGGAGGATGGAGAGTTCAAGGCCAGCCTCAGCAATTTAGCAAGGCTTTAAGCAACTCAGCAAGATGCTATCTCTAAAAAAAAAAAAAATTTTTTTTTAAAAAAAGGGCTGGGGAGGTGGCTCAGTGGTGAAGCACCCCTGGGTTCAATCCCTGGTACAAAAAAAAAAAAAAAAAAAAAAAAAGCTGAGTTTAATGATTAGAACCAACGTGGTGGGTTTGCAGAGCTGGGTGGAGCCCAGGCCAACACTACATCCTTGGCTCTAAACTCACATTTTTAAATCACGGGCCAGTGAGCAGAGATTTTTAGTCCGTCATAAACAGCTTTAGATGGTAGTGAAGATCCAATGGGGGGTGGGGAAGCAATCCAATAGGACGCTTGGTTTGCGGTTCCAATGTCTTTATGATGATGACGTTTGGTATTCACTGAACTTTTTTTTTTTTGCACTGTTGGGGATTAATTCCAGGGACATTTGACCACTGAGCAACACCCCAACCCCCTCTGTTTCTCTTCCTCTTCCTCTTCACCTTCCTCTTCCTCCTCCCCTGTTACACCACCCTCCTCCTCCTTTTTTTTTTTTTTTTGTGGTGCTGGGGTTTGAACCCAGGGCCTTGTGCATGGGAGGCAAGCCCTCTACCAACTGAGCTATATCCCCAGGCCACTCTTCCTTTTTTTCTTCTCCTGTTTTCAGAAAGGGTCTTGCTAAGTTGCTGAGGCTGGCCTCTAACTTGCAATCCTCCCGCTTCAGTCTCCCTGGTCACGGGAAGTGCAAAGTATTTACATGGGTCAACTTGGTATAGATCAACTTACCATTTTTTGACTTCACAATGGTGTGACAACGAAACCCACAGGGCCATTAGGGTTTTGAATTTCAGGGCTGTAGTCAATGAGTACAGTTTCCCCTCCTGATCACGGGACTGACTGGGAGCTGTCTGGCATTCAGAGAGGATCGGACCTCACACCACCTGCTCCAGGAAACAGCCAAGTTCAAAGTCCAGAGAACTCTAGTGACCCATCATGTTATACACGGTCCGTGGTGATGATTTCTTTGCCATTTACATGAAGTTGTTCAGCCTGCGATGGCGGAGCATTGGGAAGGTGCAGTCCTAGTTTTCAGTGATGCCAAATCTGGAGGGCTGGAGGAAGAGTGGAGTGTTACCAACAAGATAAGCAAAATGGTTGGAGCTGTTTCTTTTTTTTTTTTTTTTTTTAATTCTTTTTTTTTTTTTTTTTTTTAAGAGAGAGTGAGAGAGGAGAGAGAGAGAGAGAGAAAGAGAGAGAGAATTTTTAACATTTTATTTCTTAGTGTTCGGCGGACACAACATCTTTGTTGGTATGTGGTGCTGAGGATCGAACCCGGGCCACACGCATGCCAGGCGAGCGCGCTACCGCTTGAGCCACATCCCCAGCCCTGGAGCTGTTTCTAAAGAGGCCCATAAAGACCAGGTGCAGAGATGCGTGCCTGGAACCCCAGCGACCCTGGGAGCCGAGGCAGAAGTGATGAGGGACAGATGGATGTGAGACATGGGAACAGGAGTTAAGGGAACAAGTGTAACATGGAACCCCATGACCCCAGCGTGATTTCACTTAGCAATTCATCTTGTACAACCAGAGACATGGAAAATTGTGCTCTATATGCGTAACTCGAACGGAATTACATCCTGCCGTCATACGTAACAAATTAAAATAAATAAATAATTTAAATTTTTAAAAAAGCCATTTATCTGCAGCCCTGCTTGTTAAATTCCTCAGCAAACTACCTGTTGTCTGTAGGGGAAAGGCAGACTAGGAAATGCCAACAAGAAGAACATCAGTTCCCCTGAAGAAGGGACGTAGGACTTACAAGGAACAAATCCCAGAATTCAGGCAGATCAGGATAATTCTACGCAGCCGTAATATCTGTAAAAAGAGGTTCAGATTAGGGCTGGGGCTGTAGCTCAGTGGCAGAGCACTTGCCTCGCATATGTGAGGCACTGGGCTTAATCCTTGGCACCACATAAAAATAAACAAATATGGGGGCTGGGGATGTGGCTCAAGCGGTAGCGCGCTCGTCTGGCATGCGTGCGGCCCGGGTTCGATCCTCAGCAGCACCACATACCAACAAAGATGTTGTGTCCGCCGAGAACTAAAAAATAAATATTAAAAAAAAATTCTCTCTCTCTATCTCTCTCTCTCCTCTCTCACTCTCTCTTTAAAAAATAAAAATAAAAAAATAAACAAATAAAGATATTGTGTCCACCTAAAACTAAAACTAAAAAAAAAAAAAAAAAAAAAAAGTTAGTTGGGGATGAGTCTCGGTGGTAGAGAGCTACTGAATTCAACTCCCAGGATCAAGGAAAAAGAAATGTAAGAAACATCTTTACTTCGGAAGCCACACAAAACCAGGCAGGAACAGGATTTGACCGGTGGTCAGTTTTCTGCAACACAGATGACATTTTCCCCTACAGAAAACGAGGAGGTCACAGTTTCTACAACAGCACAACGTTGCTGTGATATGATTCAGCCCAGAACAGTGTCTAACGTTTATTTTTAGGCAACTTAGGTCTAAGACCCGGGAAAGGTCAGGACCAAGGTCAACATCTGGATGAGGTGCAGAGCTGAGGCTTCTTCCCCACGTCCAACTTCCAGAAGGCTCTGCAGGACGAAACTTCAGTCTCCTGTAGCGGTCAAGCCCACTCTTGTCACCAACTCCAGGAGAATCTGGAAATCTGGAAGTCACTCAAACCCAGACTGTAGTACCTGCCTAAGATTGGCCATCTCAACGCGGGAGGCGGGGCAACAGGCAGCGATTGGCCAATAGTGGCATCCGGGGGTGTGGTTACTGTTATCCATAGGCCGGCTCAGAAGGGGGCGGGAAAGGGAGTTTAACGTTCCCCCAGGGCACGCTGGACGTCAGGGCAACACTTACTTGCGATTGGTCCGCTAGTTCGGGAGGCGGTACATAGCTGCTTTCAACGACCGACCCTGGGAGAGCTCGGCTGCTTATTATTGGTCAATACTGCTAGGGGCGGGCAAGTGAAGCTCCGTGAAGATCAGCGATTGGTCGGGGGCGACTTGGGGCGGACACGAGGGCTGGGAGACAGTGTGGATTGGTCCGCGGCGGCGTGGGCGGGGATTCGTGGAGGCGGGGGGACTCATGGTTGGCTGGCGCAGGTCGGGGCGGGGCAGAGCGGCGCGACGGTTCCTGCGCCTAGGGTGGCCATGGCGCCGGGTGGCTGGCAGTGGCTGCGCGGTCTGTGGGCAGCGGGGCAACCCTTGTTCCAGGGCCGTGCGCTTCTCATCACCAACACTCTGGGCTGCGGCGCACTCATGGCAGCTGGGGATGGCGCACGCCAGTCCTGGGAGATCCGCACCCGACCTGGCCAGAGGTTTGACCGGTGGCGCTCAGGTGAGGACGCCGGCGCTGCTGGCCCTTCACCTCCGGGGACCTTTGTTCCTACCTAAGATTCGGATATCTTCGTATCCGGCCAGTGTTCATTCATCCCTGATCTGTAGCCTCCGTCTCCGTCAGGACACAATCTCGGCGTGCACTAAGTCTAAGGACTCTGATGATCCCTCCCTTAGTCTCTGTCCCCTAACACCCCCAGGTGTCCGTCACCCCCAATACCTGGGATCTCTGCCATCCACCGAGGAGCCTGGAACGGCGTCTGTCTGGCGGTGGGGCTTGTAGTGGAGGAATACACGGTTGAGCTCGCCCGATTTTCTGGCTGAGGCTTGGGGAGGGCATAGAGCTTACCCACATCTTGGCCAGGGGGGAGTGTATTGTGGGGCTTGCTGGCCTGATCTGGCACCCTGCTTCTTCTGCCGCCTCAGCCAGCATGTTTATGGTGGGCTGCAGCATGGGCCCCGTCCTGCACTACTGGTACCTGTGGCTGGATCGCATACTCCCTGCATCGGGCCTCCGAGGCCTCCCAAACATCCTCAAGAAGGTCCTCGTGGATCAGCTCGTCGCCTCTCCTATGCTAGGCGTCTGGTACTTCGTGGGTAAGGAGCCCAAGATCTTGGGTTTTGCCCCTCATAGATTGGGATTGGTGGAGACAGGTTTGTGTTAAGGATGCTGAGGTGTGATTCTGATGCGCTTCCTGTGTAGGTGGCCCTGGACTGGGTGACAGAATAGACCCAATCTGACCCTCAGGGAGCCAGTGGGGGTTGGTGTGAATGGTGGTGAGTGTGGGGGAGATGAGGACATTTTCTGGGGCTGCTTTGAATGGGAGGTTGGACACTCAGCAGACACTGAGCTGGCAGCAGGAGGGTCAGCCTACACAAAGGCCCTGAGGCCTAAAGGGAGAGGAGTGCGATTAGGATTAATGGGGTACAGTCATCCCAGCCCCAGGCTCTGTGGAGAGTCTTGGCAGAGCTGCTCATCCCCACCCTCCAGGCTCAGAGTTTCCTTGGCTGTAAAGAAGAACTAAAACCAATTCTACCTCAGGGCATCTCCTTTGGAGCATGTGTTTATTTTATAAGTGACTTGTTCTGTGTTGTTCCCCTCCACCAACCACCCTGCTGTCCCATACCCTCTGCCTGGGTCGCTCTGTCACTCAGAGGTCCAACCCCGCCCCACCATCATCGTGGGTCTCTTTCACCTCCACAGCACGCTGTGGCCTCTGACACTCATTTCTTGGTTTCCTTCCCAGGCCTCGGCTGCCTGGAGGGCCAGACACTGGACGAAAGCTGCCAAGAGCTGCGGGACAAGTTCTGGGAATTCTACAAGGTGCGCATCCCCCAGGCCCCGCCCACCTGCAGCGCCGCCTCTGACAGCTCTCCTGCCCCGCCCCTCAAGGCTCTGGCCCCGCCCCTTACCGCACTCCGCCCCTCCCCCTAGGCTGACTGGTGCGTGTGGCCCGCGGCGCAGCTGGTGAACTTCCTCTTCGTGCCCCCCCAGTTTCGGGTCACCTACATCAATGGTCTGACGCTAGGCTGGGACACATACCTGTCCTACTTGAAGTACCGGGTGAGTGTGGTGGGTGGACCCGGCACCCGGGGATTCCCCTGGGGCCATCTCTGTGAGCCTCAGTGGCACTACAGCCACTGCAGAGGGTGAGGGCCCTGGCAGTTGGGCCCAGGGAGGGCAGGCGGGGAGCTCCCCGGCCATGGAGAGACAGCTCTGCTGTCTGACGGTCCAGGTCAGGTACCGGTGGTGTGACCACCAGGTCCCTGCTATGCCTGCTGAGCAGGGCTGACCCCAAACCTGAGGACAGAAAAATGAGGGCCCAGGGAGCAGGAGATACGGCTCAGAGAGTTCCCGGCCCGCTTGTGCAAGGCCCTGGGTTCCATCCCCAGTGCCCCCCACACAGAAGCAATGCCTGTGACCAGACCCTCTGTGCTGACAGGTCCCCGGCCCTCTGACACCCCCAGGCTGTGTGGCCCTGGGCACTGGAACGGACTGAGCTGACACCCAGGACTAGATCCCTGCTCTAGACAGGGCGACAGAGACTAGGAGCTGACCACGCCTCCCGTCAGAAGGGGAGTGGACTCCTGAAGCAGGCGGGGTCCTGGGGCCGGGTCCCAGCCCATCCGACTCCCAGGCATCTAGCTGAGCTCCTCCCAAGCTCACAGCGGGCCATTTCCCATCTGGAACACAGCCACCAGATGGACAGTCGTCCCCCAACCCTTTTCACTGGAAGCCTAATAAGACCTGTGACCAAGATGGCCCACCTGCAGCACAGGGCCTCGGCCAGCCAGTTGGTCCCAAGCACCAAACCTCACCACTGCCAAGGCCTGGCTCTGGGCCACACAGCCACACTCCAGCTTTTCCAGGCCCCTGGGGACCAAGGCAAGGACATGGCCGACCCCCTGGAGTAGGGTCCGGCCTGGAGTCAACTCCAAAAGCTTCAAGCAGGACTGGAGCCTCCAGGTCGCTTCTTTGGTCGTGAACATGGAAATTCCATTAAATTCTCTCTGTAATTGAAATCTTGTGAATGTCCAAAGACAGAAGGGGAGGGCGGGACCGCCGCAGAGGGACAGGGCATGGTCCATTCGCTTTATTGGATTGTGTGTAGTGTGTCATTACATCTCCTAGGGGACTGAGGGGCACGTTTGACACTTGTGACGTCAGAACAGGTCCGGAGGGGTGGTCCCAGGGTGGACTCCACTCCCAGCACCCCTCCCACCCAAAAGACAAAACTGGGGAAGAGGCGTCCTGGACTCCCCCCCTGTGGTCCACCAGGAGAAGCCCGAGCAGGGGACCCGGGGCGCTGCATCAGGAGGGGCTGGCGGGCCTGGCCACCCCATCACCGCATCAGCCTGCTCTGGGGTGTCATCTGGTCCCCTCTTCACAACCAACAACTGCTGATGAGGGTGAATTTAAAAAAAAAGGTGAGGTGTCCAGAGGAGGGTGAGCAGTGACCACGACACGCCACAGCAGAGCAGGGACAGGGCTGTATGTACAGGGAGGAGGGCGGGGGAGCCCGGGCCCCTGGGGGACATCTTCAATAAATAAATAAATAACTACGATAATAAATAAGGGTGATGGGCTACGGCAGGGGCGGGTCCCAGGCCCTGGGGCGGGGCGGGGCGGGGCTGCTCTCAGCAGGCGCAGTCCTGGTGCGGGGGCGCCTGCTGGTCAGTGAGCTGCGGGCCCTGCTTGGCGCCGGTCACAGCCGGGTCTGCCGTGTCCAGTGACTCGGACATCTTCTCGCAGATGACGTCCACCAGGCGCTCAAAGGTCTGCTTGACATTGATGTTGTCCTTAGCACTTGCCTCAAAGAACTCGAACCCTGTGTCAGGGAAGGGAGGGTAGAGACCCTTTGCACCCAGCTCCCAGAGCCCGAGGACCCATTAAAGACACTGACAAGTCACCCAGGAAAGCCACACTGTGAACATCCAAAGATAGAAGGGGAGGGCGGGACCATCCTGCGTTTCCCATCCTTTTTTTAAAATTTTTTTTTAATATTCATTTTTTAGTTTTCGGTGGACACAACATCTTTATTTTATTTGTATGTGGTGCTGAGGGTCGAACCCAGCACCCTGCGCATGCCAGGTGAGCGCGCTACCGCTTGAGCCACATCCCCAGCCGCCTATCCTTTCTTCACCCTGAGATTGCCTCCAGGGCCCTCGCAAGCACTTCCGATCCCCACTGTCCAGCCCACGTCCATGCACAGGCCCTGGAGACCTCCCACACTCGGATCCAACTGTGCCCTCCCCTCCTCAGATACCGTCCATGGCTCCCTATTGTTCTAAGAAGTTCTGGCTCCTGGGCTCATGGTCAAGGCCCTGCACAACTGACCGCGTGTCCTCCAGTTAACCCCCGTGTTCCAGCCCGTGAAACTGTGGCCTAACACAGGATCATTTTCATCTCTGGCCTTGGCCCACCTGTTTCCTCTGCCTGACGGACGGGCTAGGGCCCACCTCACTCCCAGTGAGGCAGAAGCCTGTCATGGCCCTTAGCACCCCGCAGGAAGCAGACGGTGAGAGGGTGGGAACTGCTGAGCCCTCCCAGCGGCTCCTGGGTCAAGGCCAGCTGGCAGAAAGCGCTGATTGCCTAGATTTGAAGCCACCCCTGTCCTGACTCCGCTGGGAGACTTTGGGTGTGTGTCCTTCTCTTTTAGGGCTTCAGCGTCCCTTTTCTCACCTTGTGGGTCCCCAGTCTGCAGGTCACTCACCAAGATGGTCGGCCAGCTGCCGGCCACGTTCCGATGACACCACCCGCTCATCCTCCATGTCACACTTGTTCCCCACCAGCAGCACCTGGGCATTGTCCCACGAGTAGGTCTTGATTTGGGTTGACCTGCATGAGGCAGCAATGGGGTTGGTTTAGGGGTTTGGGGACCCCAGCCCCATCCCCAAGCTCTAGGGCAGGGCCTGTCCCCTTGTCCTGGGGAGAGAGACTTTGAGGTTGGCCCACGACCTTCCTACCCTAGGTCTCCTCCAGCCACCATGGCCCCGTAGTCCTCCAACATGGCAGGCTTGGCCCTTTCTCCCTGCCTTCGTCCTGCCGGGTACCCACTACCCTCTCTCCATCCACCAGCCTCTTCCTCCAGGAAGCCCTCCAGGCCCCATCTCTGCTCCTGCCAAGAACTCATGCTCTTTCCTGCCTGTGGGTATTTGCTCCAAAAGCTGCCTGCGCTTCAAAATCCAGCTCTCAAGCAACCCCTCCCACAGTTCCCAGACACCCTCAGAGAAATTACTTCCTCTGCAACAAATTCAGAAATTCTCTGAAAGTTTACCATCATGGCTAGGCAGGCCATTTATTTATTTGTTTACTTACTTATTTTGCAATACTGGGACTTGAACTCAGAAGCACTCTGCCACTGAGATACACTCTCAGCCCTTTTTGGTTTGGGGCTTTTGGGTGGGGGTTGGTACCAGGGATTGAACTCAGGGGCACTTAACTACTGAGCCACATCCCAGCTCTTTTTTATATTTTTTTAAAGACAGGATCTCGCTGAATTGCTTAGGGCCTTGCTAAATTCCTGAGACTGGCTTTGAACTCCTGATCCTCCTGCCTCAGCCTCCCAAGCAGCTGAGATTACAGGCATGTGCCACTGTGCCCGGCCTCTTTTTAGTTTTTATTTTAAGACAGGATCTCACTAAGTTGCCAAGGCTGGCCTCCAACTTGAGATCCTCCTGCCTCAGCTGCCTGAGTCACTGGAATTTTATAGGTGTGCACCAACTGTGTCTGGCTATCGTATTTATTTATCTATTTATTTTTTGTTTAGTGCTGGGGATTGAACCCAGGGCCTTGTGCATGCGAGGCAAGCACTCTACCAACTGAGCTATATCCCCAGCCCTATTTTATTTTAGAGATGGGGTCTGGCTATGTTGCCCAGGTTGGTCTCAAATTCTTGGGCTCCTGTAATCCTCCTGCCTCAGACTTCCAGCACCTGAGACCTTAGGCACCTGCCACCATCCCTGGCCAGGGAGAACATTCAAATGTGTCCGACCTCAGGTCTGGGATGTGCGCAGTGGTGGTGCATTTGCCTAGCATTTACAAGGCCCTGCGTGTGACCCCAGAACCACAAAGAAAAAGAAGAAGAAGAAGAAGAAGAAAGACAAACAAATGTTGCTGGGAGCACACGCCTGTAATCCCAGCAGCTCTGGAGGCTGAGGCAGGAGGATGGCGAGTTCAAAGCCAGCCTCAGAAACTTAGTGAAGCCCTCAGCAACTCAGTGAGACCCTGACTCTAAATAAAATATAAAAAGGGCTGGGAGTGAGGATCAGTGATTAAGACCCCTGGGTTCAATCCCCAGTACCGAAAAAAGAAAAGAAACGTTTACAACCTATGCAAACTGCTCTTATAGTCTGTTCCCAGCCTCGTCAGATCCCAGATTGTTTCCCCTTTACATTCCCATAAGGATTTCCATCTGAAGTGAAGGGATGGTCTGAGAGGAGGGGAGGCGCTCACCAGTCCTGCACAGCGTTGAAGGACTCCTCGTTGGTGATGTCATACATGAGGATGAAGCCCATGGCGCCCCGGTAGTAGGCGGTGGTGATGGTCCGGTACCGCTCTTGCCCTGCTGTGTCCTGGGAGGAAGAGACGGGAGCCAGAGACCCACAGGTGAGCTCCTCATAGAGGAGATCTGGTCTGAGATCACCCAGTCAGGTCCCTTCGGGGCCCAGCAAGGGACAGGCTCTCACCCAGGGACTCCATGGTCCAGGAAAAGCCCTCTGGGTCACTAGTATCCCAGACTTTTAGTTACTCGATCATCCTACTGCAGAATCCATCCCTATTTATTCAACAAACACATACTGGGCACCAAACCACACACCGTGTGCTCCACCCTGTCACAGCACAGAGCTTATAAAATGGACAGAAATCCCTTCCTGTGGAATGCACAACACTGTGGTGGTGCCTGCCTAACCAGTGACTCAGGAGGCTGAGTCAGGAGGATCACAAGGTAGAGGCCAGCCTAGGCACCTGAGCAAGACCCTGTCTGAAAATTCAATGGGCAGGGGGTGGAGCTCGGTGGTCCAGCCCTTGCCCAGTACATGTGAAGCCCTGGGCTCCACCCCATTACTGCAAAAATAACATAAAGTAACCACATAAGCATAGCTGCCAGAGGGTAGCAAGGACTGAGGAGAAAAGTAAAGCCTGCCCAGGATGGGGAGTGCTGGAGGGGGACATTTAAAAACCTGAAGGCGAGAGGGAGGGAGGAGCATCCCACATAGAGAGACCAGGCAGGGCCTCCTGGCTTCAGTGAGGGGTTCCTTTTACTAGGAGTGCAATGGAAGCCATGAAGGGTGGGCAGAGAGGACAGGCTCCCTCTGGCCTCTGTAGAACTGAATGAGGAAGGTAGGAAGCCCTGAGGCCCATGCAGCATCTGTCCCAGGAAATGAGGACAGGGGCCAAGATCTGGCTGAAGCCTCATAAGAAGTTCCAGAAAGAACTGCAAGATGGGGAAACAGGCACTGAAATTAGACACTGAGGAACAGGGGTGCTCTATGATCCTCCACCCCCAGGTATACAGTAGGCATCTGATAAGTGCCCCGGGTGTGAATGCACAAATCTAACCAGGAATGCATGGAAAAGCAACCAAACGGGCTGCTTTTCCAGCAAGAGGAGGAGCCCTCCAGCCCGACCCACCCAAATCTGCAGCTTGATCCTCTTGTCGTTGCGGTAGATGGTCTTGACCTTGAAGTCGATGCCCACAGTGCTGACGAAGGCAGGTGTGAAGGAGTCATCCGCGTAGCGGAAGAGGAAGGACGTCTTGCCCACGCTGCTGTTGCCAATGATGAGGATCTTGAACATGTAGTCGAAGTTCTGATCCGAGGACTCCTTCTGCCCATAGCGGGAGTCTGTGGCGGATGCCATCTGGGGGTGCGGGTTGTAGGACAGCATGAGGGGGCTCTCTCCATCCCCAACTTCCCAAGCCCAGGATGGAGAGTTGCAGAGGAGTACCACAGTGGTGTTGGGAGACCACACTTAAACCATCAGGGGCCCCAGTA